CCTCCAGCTCCTCCAGCTGAGTTCTCATCTCCTCCACCTGTTGCTCCAGCGTTCGTTTGGACTTCTCCAGTTCATGGACCTGAGAGAAGGAACAAGACCATAACATCAGCAAAACAAGCCGGACAAAAGCCAGATCGAAAGGTCCTCAGACAACCCTCAGTGGATTTCCAGAAAGAATAATCATGAATGTACTGTATACAGAGGAAACAGAGGTGTCATTAAAGAGGTCAAAAGTCACTCACATTCTTCCCCACATCATCCTTAGAGCTCATCAGGTCCTCCATTTCAGCACGGAGCTGCTTATTAAACCGCTCCAGCTCCTCTTTGGCCTCCAAGGCCTCCTCCAGAGCTCTGGCCATGGACAAAGCCTTGGTGTCCTTCTCTCTGGCTTCAGCCTCCGCACGGTCACGCTCTTCAGCATAACGGGCCGAGATGGTTTTCTCCTCAGCCAGCAGCTAGCGGAGACAGAGAAACAATGATCTTCAGTACACTCACATACACCTGACCTCAATCTATCACTTCTAAAACATTTTGCCAGTCCAGTGTACCTGATCAAACTTCTTCTGTTTCTTCTCGAGGTTTGAGACGATCTGTCTCTGGTGGTCCAGGTCCACCATCAGGTCGTCCAGCTCCTGCTGCAGTCGGTTCTTGGTCTTCTCCATTTTGTCCATGGCCATAGTCTTCTCCTCCAAACGCTGGCTGGTCAGCTCCACATCCTTCTGGAGTTTTCTCTTCACCTCCTCCAGGCCCTCCATCGCCCCCACATCCTCCTCTAGCTTCTTCTTTGTCTCAAACAGCTACAGGGAGGACATTTTTTAAATAAGTGAATATATAACGATTATATAAAATCATCATATTGCTTTTTTTGTGGTCACAGGGATGTGTGCTGGTGAAATGAGCGGTATTAATATGGGCAAAGCTGACGGTAACAAATCAACTGACATAATGAATCTCATCTCATCTCCAATATTTCTGTTCACTAATGAGATCCATCAGCCTCCAGACAAACACATATTTACCTGAGCTGCTGAAAGAAATGTTGAGATAAACACTGTGTGTGGCTTATTTACCCAGTTCCAATTCTGTGTGCATAAACATCACAAACCTAAAAGTGACTTGTTATTGATTCTGACTATTAACTCATAAAGGCAGTAGGAGATGTGGATGAAAAGAAACAGAATATATATACATACATACATACATACATACATACATACATACATACATATGTATATACCACAGATTTACACAGTAGTACCCTCCTGTCTACTTATCCTTGTTAATATGAACCACACTTTTTTAATTTGCTGCAAGGCCTCACTGCTTTACAGCTGTATGCATGCTGCTCTGCCCATCAAGGACAGGTGTTCACAGCTGGTAAACAGCTGGAAACCTTTGCCAGGCCCTTCTCTTGGCGCTCAGTCGAGTATCAGTGGTACCTGACAGGTTTGCTGGCCTCATAGGTTTGTGTGTTTTAATGTGTATATGTGTCTTTATGTAGTGTACATGTGTATGAGACTCATTAACGTTTGTACGACTGACTGTACCTGAGAATGCGCCGTCTGCAGCTGTTTCTCCAGGTTGCGTCGAGCTTCCTCCTCTTCCTCCTGCTGCTCCAGCAACGTGTTCTTTTCCACCTCCAGCTGGCGGATTTGGCCGCTCAGGTTCAACTTCTGACGTGTCTCCTCCTGACGCAACTCCTACACGACAGAACACAACCAGAAATTTCTGTAACAAATATTTGATATCTTTGTGATTCTAAATCGAGTTTCAGAAAAGGCCGATGTTTCATACCTCTGAATCTTGCAATTTGCTGTTCAGTTTGTCCACTTCCTTGGCCAGTTTGACGCCCTTCTTCTCTGACTCCTCCAGCAAGGACGACAGATTGTCCAACTCCGTCTAAGGAAAGTCGAGGGGTTATAAGGAAAGCACAATCCAAAGCGAGCCATGAATATTCCCTTTACAATAAACTAGGCAAATATTTACACACACAAAAAAAAATGTTGTCCTTGGAACTCGAGTTCATGCTAAATTATTCTGTTTCTAGAGTAATCTGGGGTTATAACCCTTCATTTTATAGCAAAACTGCTCCAAATCTGTGCTTCTCTGACGTCTGTAACTGTCCGTGGAGGTATTTACCTGCAGTTTGTGGGAGCGTTCAGCCAGCTCTCCCTTGGTTCTCTCTACCTCGGTGGCTCGGGCCATAAACTCCTGCAGCTGGGCCTCCAGTTTCTTCCTCTTGTACTCTGACTCCGTCTTTGCCTGCTGCAGACTCTTCACCTCACAGGCCATCTCTTTGTTATCACTCTCCAGACTCTGCTTGTTCTTCTCCAGGTTGGTTTTGAACTGCACAGAAACAAAAAATAATGCTTTTATCTATGCTTCTGTGTCACGCTCTGGATTTAAACTGGGACAAATACAATGGAGTTGCAATATTGAAACCGACAGCAGATAAACTGGCTGTTTTTATGTCTTCATATCATTCAACTGATGAACCCACTCACCCTCTTGGCCTGTTCGAGCTGTTCGGACACTTCTTCCAGCGCTGTGGCGTGCCTCTGTCTCATTTCCTGGACCTGAGCCTCGTGGTTTTTGGTCTCTTCATCTATGGCCTTCTTCAGCTCTGCCACTTCTTGCTCTCGCTTGGACCTGGAGTTTGGACACAAGTGAGAAGGTTAAGAGGACACATTAGAAGAGACAATACAAAAACATCTTAACACGCATTGTTTATTGCTACTATCGTCTTCATAAAATTAACTGTCCACTCAGGAATGAGCACATAATCTTGTATAATCAAGTGACTGCCGTTCAAGCAGCACCCACTGGAACCGCTAAACACTTAATACAACTTTTTTACATATGCAGTCGTACACCCCAAAACCCATAAACAGGGTTTATCGTCATTGATAAACCAGCTTTAAACAAACACCTGAGCTCTTGCTGGGCAGCGGTGGTATCCAGCGTGTCCTCCAGTTCCGTCTTCAGAGCCTCGAGCTCCTCACTCAGGTCCCTTTTGAGTTTTTCAGCTTTAGTTCGACACATCTTCTCTGACTCCAGATCCTCCTGAAGCTCTGCAAGGTGGGCCTGAAGCTCCCGAACCTGCTTCAAGGCGTTGTTCTTCTGGATGGTCTCGTCGTCACTCCTGGTTGGGGACACAAAAGTACATGAGTTGGTTTTTCAGAGTAGACCCTTATCACTCAACTGAGTCTTCCTTGTAATGAAAATAATGAAAATCTATAGTTTAAACATTCAGCTGAGGATCTGAATTTCCAAAGATTTATTCTATACCAAATTAATATCTTAAAATAGTCAATTTTTTAATGTTAATGTTTAAACATAAGAATCTATAAGACATGTGTATGTTCTTGTACACTTCAACTAACACCTCAGTTCCTTTCAGTTCTTACTTCAAACCCTTTCTCAGGTCTCAGATCTTCACCTTTAAACAAACAAAAAACCTTTTCAGCTCCTAACTTTCATTATAGATACACAATTTACTTCAGCTAAGGACTTCCACTTTACCTCACACTTCCTGATTAATTCATCACCTACACTTCACCTGAGATTTCAACTCCTTTCAGTGCTCGAATTTGAACTAAAGCACAAACTTAAACTGGCACTTCATTTATTGTTTATTCATTCATTTTGAGAACACAGTGATGTGAATGCACTGCATGCAACTAGTTTTATCTAAGTTTTATCGTCTGTCTAAAGTAATAAAATGTACTTTTAATGCAGGAGTCAGTGATGTCATATTTTGTAACTGAAATGAGGCCACCAGTGCACACAGGGTGGCAGTGTGGTCAACTGTTCACCGCTGAAGCTGTCCACATGAAATCTGTATGTTGTATGGTAATGAGACTGTGGATTTGTTTGTTGTTGGAAGCGAGGCTGAGTAAAATTCATCCTGGCTACAACACTCATTTTATATAAACCCACTGATTGAACACACTCAATGTTATAATGATTCAGTTATATAATTAACACAATGCCACAGCATTGATTAAAGGCACTAATGACATCCATATAAAAGTAATTCCCCATTTTCCAAACAAAGATAATACAATCGTTCTCAGAGTAGCTGCTGCATTCAAAATGAGGCACATTAAGTTTAATGGAAGCTTAATTAACTGGATCTGTGACTAAACTGAGGATTTCTGCCTGTGAAATTAGTCAGACGTAAACCGTCGACCCCTGTTTTCTGGACTATTGGCCTGCTGTAAAGAGACAACTGCTGAGAAGCCACATTAAAATAATCTGAGCTGACCTTCAGAGCAAAGACCTCCACAGCTGTTTAACCTCATCTGTATGCATGTCTGTCTAGTGACGGTTAAATTGGAAAATAATTATATATGACACCACACGTGTTGCTCAGAAGATTTTTCCCACTGTGGAAAGTGAGGAGGAGTGATCTTAATTAAGAAATATTTTGCTGCAGGTCTTTTACAATCATAACTGCCAACAATCAGGACACAAAAGAAGTAAAAAAAATTCTCTGACGATAAAAAAACAGCCTTCTTAATAGTTTCTCCTCCACTGGCAAATTACTTCATGTGGAAAAACTACTGCAAAGCCCAAGACTGAGTGCATCAATCAACATCAATTTTCCTGTAATCAGACACGGCTGCTTCCAAGATGCACTGGTCTCAGCCAGTGTCGCTGAAGGCAAACACTGCAGCTGGGAGCAGAGGAGAAGCAGAGAGGGACTGTGATGAGTGAAAGATAGAGGGAAAGGGTATGTGTGCTGAAACACTGCCTGCAGCAGCTGAAGAGGACGTTTGCTGCTCAGAGTTCAGACTCAGTGCTGTCTGTATGTCGTCGTGGTTGTAACGTCTATTTCAGGTCTTATCCTAGCGACTTGGCAGCACCACAGTGGAATGCAGTTGTCATGGAG